AAGAGGGCCATTTGAATTCCTGGCAAGAGGGCTTTTTATTCCTTGAACCCAGATGGGAAGGGTCCTTTGGGGAAATCCTCTTATATTTTCCTCAGTCTTACACTGTTGCAAGTCACTGGCCTATTACTTTATCTGGACCTCTTCACACCTGGAAACTAGTCACTTTTGTAGAAGAGTACTTGTCGCAGATTTTAAGAGGCCACATTATTATTTGGATTGCCTTGCGCTCACATGGTATTTTCTATATTTTTCCATCCCTCAAAGCTTGCAGCCTAAATTAGATCAAGGAATAAATAACAATGACAGCTCCTAGGATGAAGCAGTGTGCGCGTGCACACGTAAGGTACTAGTGAATACTTTCAGAGAAGTGCAGCTCTTGAGAGGTGCAGCGTTTTGTGAGTGGACTTGATTATCGTATTGTTTTCTCTGTTTTGTTCTGCTGATGGCTCCTAATGCATCAAGTCCCTCAAAGAATTAGGGATCTTGTTAAAACCTGGCATTGGATCACATATAAATGTCAGTTTATGTAGGATTTTGGATGCACAAAAATGGCATTTACCGGAATTAATTTCTATATCTGATGGATTGTATTTGCAAGGCTTTGTGAAGGTACTGAGCTTTAAGATAAAACAGGGGAGAGAAATAAAGGGTTGGTCGCTGCCTTCAGTATTCTGTAAGTCATAGTCACAATTTGGATCGTGGAGAATATATGTTCTTTGTCCAGCCTGTGACTTGCATTGTTTTTGCCCAAAAGGATAGATGAAAGAAAGGTCTTTAACGTAACTCAGTTGTTAGGCACTTACTCAGTTTGTTTCTTGTTTCTGTCCATCAGAACCAGAACTCAGCAGCAGCAGTAAGATCTGTACGACGTAACACAAATCTATTTGAGATCTTACTTTGTGAGCACTTTGATTGCGTCAAAACTATTATGTGCAGAATTTACGAAAATAGTAGCAGCTGGCATAAAAACCATCATGCTACTCTGAGGTTCGCAAAGATGTGACGCTTGGCTGATACATAAACTGACTGACTTTAAGGAGGAGGCCTCTCTTCAGGATTCACATCCTGGATATGCCTTAATAAATAGAGCAGAATGAGACAAGCCTGAAGTTGCTAGAAATATGATCTTAACGCAGCTTTCACTGATGAAACTGTGCGAGTTAGCTTAAGTGACAAAAAGCTTCCTTCTAAGAAAATGGTCTGAAGAAATCTTGGTTCCATTTGTTGAATTTTGCCTAACACACAAATGAACAGAATGGTGGTGAAGCCCTATCGCAAGAGTTAGTAACAACTGTAAGGGCAAAATGAGTTGTTTGCAGTTTGAAAAAGTAAAAAATCAAGTGTTGAATATATAATATTAATGAGAGAGAATGTATTTTAAGATGTGGCCAGAACTGGGAAACATAAGTTACAGAATTCTCTTCTATTTTAAGCCATTCTGAATGGGCCACTTATAATTTAAGGCCTTAATTAAAGGGGGAGCAAATGGAACTTTGTATTCCAAAAATTGGTTGGCATCAAAAACTGTTATGTGCAGAAAATTCAACATGCAGTAAGAGATTTTCTCTAAGATCACAGCTTAGTGTAGTAGTCCCCCAAAATAACTAGTGATAGCTGCAACACTTTGATTTTAGTGATCACATGTAGTTGAAATCCCCATTAATGTTTTTCTGTTACCAGTTTTATATTTGAAGAGATCTGTGAATTTGCTGTTCTGAAACACTGGCAAAGACTTACAAAATACCAATGATATTTTTTCAGTAAGTTTGCCATAATACGTTGGTCTTACAGATGACTCGTGTGTTCTAGTGAAGTGCTCATCTTCTGGAGGGTGTGTTTTGAAGCCTCTTTGCAACTTTTTAAATTTATTTTTTAATGAGCTTATTACACCATTCGTGGTTCTGGGACTTGGATGACTGAATTTTTGTGGACTTCAAATGATAATTTTGGAAGTTAGCATTCACATTTCAAAGTTGCTTGTAAGTCATGAGTTTATGATGAAACGGTAGCATCTCAAAGGAAGTTATTGCAGTGGACTTTTGTGTGAAGATTGTAGCTGCTCACAACGTTCTCAGAACATCAGTGTTCAAATAGTTTCTTTCCTTCCTTCAGAAACACAGTGAGGAAACCTTAGGTCGGGCCAGTGGCAGGCTGAGTGGATAAAGTAAAGAATGCGTGAATTTCCCTGAGTATTTCCGGCCATTCATTGTCACCACAATCAGAACCTGACCTTGCTCAAGTGCAGTGCGATCTGTGCTTCTCTCTGGAAAAGCACTGAGGAGGCAAATTTCTGTAGTTCCAGTGAGGTAAAATGCTGTAGTTCTCTAGAAACCTTAGCTGATGTGAAATATTACATTACTTAGGCAAGGGAGAGAATGCATGCCCCTGTAGCTTGCTGATCTATATGCTACTAAGAGCACTGTGACATTGCCATGAAAATAGAATGTTGCCTAGAGATACTGAGTGTGCTGATGGGAATACACCAGCCGTTGAGCGTACCTCTTTCTTACTTGCTTTCTTACCAATTGAATTTCTTACTCCCATTACTAAACTTTTTTTTTTTTCCCTTGTGATCTTTGCTCTACCTGCCTTCCCCTCTCAACACGTAGTTGCTAATCTATCTTTCCTCACATTTGCCTTGCACAGTAAGGGAGCACATGGGAACCGAGGCCAGTTGGGAAGAGTACCAAAATCAAAGGATTAGAACATTTTTGTGTGATTATTTTTGTTTGTCACTTTCTGTGCTTTTTGTACCTCTGTATTTGAAAAGGAAGTAAAAAT